AAATAAGTTAATTGGATAAAGGCGGCAGAAGGGCATCTCATTAGTTTTTTGGAGTGATTTGTGGCCATCCTGTCATTTATTTTAAAACAAACTGAGCAGGGACCCAAACTTGTCAAAATGAGACAGTCATTGGAAAGCCACTATTTTAAATATTTGGATGGTGACTTTTCCTATCAAAAAACAAAAACTCCCAAACTTTTTATCAATTGACCTCATTGTTTGACATAATAGTTTATATTTGTACTAATGAAGCCAACAATCAGAGACAAACGTAATGTTCTTCTCTATTTTCTAACAAATGAAGACAGAGGAGGAAAATAAAAATCTATTTCCTCTTATCTTAAAATTTTCTTCACAAATACCTTATTTAATTTTCCTATGTGACATGAAAACAATGCTACAGAATACAACGATCAATCTCTTAATTATTATTCATCTTATTAATCTATTGTTTCACATTTAACAATGATTCAGCAATAGCCTTGCACAGATACAAAAATCATTTAAATCTTTTCAACAATCAGATAAATAACCAGAAGCAAGATGATCTCAGTTTAATGAATGAGTGAAGCTCCTAGAGGTGTAACAGAACAACTTCGAGGGACGGTCAGGGAGTCGCAGCCCCCGATAAGATTGTGATACATTTTTATATGGCCATAAGAGACTGGCTTTAGAATGCTATGTATATTATATAAATGTTTTCTGCCAAAACTTCGCAGATGATTTTAACGTACACTGAAAAGGTTATGTATAGACAAGCAGAGTATGTGCCAGTAGGCTCCTAGAATACTCAGTTACTCATTTACAAAACTGATTTCCTTGTCCTTAAAAACTAAACGTTTGGAACATTCTAGGAAGGAGGAGACGGGCACAATTGTATCGAGGGGAAAATAGGGTTGAGTCACAGCTGGAGCGAGTTTAAGTCACCTTGTCCGTTTGCTGTCTCTAGGCTAACACAAAAATAAAATGATGGATGCTTGTACTTAGATTATCATTAAAATACTTTTCTTACTATTCAGAAAATAACCTTCCACTTGAATCAACTGTCAATCCTCATGATTTATCATGAAAGAAAAGGAATCCTTACGAAGACTGCTTGAAATTTTTAAAATATTTTGGAAATTGAATCTTACCAGGGATTTGCTTTTCCTATCAGTTGATGTCAAATTAGAATTAGTAATTATTTACTCTTGATCTTGGGAAGATTGGGCCAGGGTTAAAAATAAGTCAAAGATAATTTCAGAAAGTGAAGCGATCACTCACAAAACCTAGAAAATACATTTCATTTCAGTGAGCACTTTCATTAACATTCATGCAAGCACACAGAGCATTTTCACAGAGGAAATTCACTCTATAAGTATTAACAGTCTCTACCCAATCCCCCCAAGTTTCATGTTGATGTATTTCAAGATTTCTTTTCTTATAATATAACTGTGTACCGTCCTCCAAATACCCATTTTACATGAAAAAAAATCACGAAATGTGAATTCATACTGAATTAACCTCAGCTTCTGTTTCACCAAATATGCCAAGAAGTTTATCTGCATTAAAATACAATTATTTGTCCTTGGTCTACTCAAAACTTTTAAAATAATTTCAAAATGCTACCACTTTGATTCAAATTAAATATATCTTCTAATCTCAATATGAGAAAGCAAAGAGTAAAAAATTAAGAGACGCTATAGCAAACACAAATTTCAGAAGGATTTTTCATTGGTACACAAAAATTTTAAACATAGAATAATTTAAATTGCTTGGGTATTTTTAAAAATTTGTTTTAAAATTTGATACGTCAAATCCCAGAGCTAATGTCAAACAATGGCGTACTTAATCAAAGCATTTTTATCCACATGGTACTGAAGATTTTGTTTAAAATTCCTTTCAATTTTGCACATATGAAATGTTCTCCTGAGGAATACAAATACTGACATACATAAATATTAATATATGTAACAGTCCTGCAACTTAATTCACCCTATGTACATGTGCATACATGACTAGTTTTTAAAACCTACTAGCAAACCCTGCAAGGAGTGGGTCAAATTAAAAATTATAGTATCTAACCCATAAAACTCATTTTTGCTAATACTGTATAAACTACCTGAATACTATCCCACTCAACGCTCTGTGTCAGCATCCGTGCTAACCAAAACTAAATCTTCAAAATGAACCTAAAATTGGGAATCGTAACATCTCTAGAGAGCAGTGCTTTTCCTTTTAGGCTTTCTCCACCTTAAAATTTGAGGGCATTTTTTTGGGAGTAATTCACAAACGGCCCACCTTCCCTATGAAACAGAAAGAAGCCCTATAAATAAGAATGTTTCTCCTAACACAAAATCAAGCAGCAGTGAGTCAAGAAAATTTGGGGGCCCACTTGAACTCATTTCCATTTTTATAGGCTAACAGATTATTAAATTTATTTAACAATTTCTCTACAATAGCAATGCAATTTCTACCTTCTCTATCCTGAAAAATTTAAATACACAATCATTAAATTTTCAGTTAATACAAACACCAAAGACTTAAGTTTCTAATCTGCGTACTTGCAAGGCACAGATTTCAACATTATCAAAGATGAATAAAGAAAGTAGAGGAAATCAAACTGAGTAGGCCTCACGGTGACATGCTGGAATTAGCTAGTTTGATCAGGTGACACTTTGCTTCCAAAATTCTCCAACCGTATTTTGCTATTCTGAGTAAAATATCAGTGTTGCCACATTCCAGATCTATAGATTTCCCTATAAAACCAGGTAGCATCTTGTCTCTTGAGTTATCTTTCTAAATTCCATCCAGTTTTGGAAAATAAAAAAACTAAGTATTTTGGTGAACACCTAACTAGTGGAATAACGATAGATTCATAAATATTGAAAGAATTCCTCTTTCTACTTCAAAGAGAGAAGATTTTTCTTCATAATGATACACATATTAGATGATCGGCTAGACCAGGGGAAGAGAACGCACAAAATTTAACCTTCCCACCTACCAGCTACCCTCTGGCTTCTGAACTAATGTTTCACTTGACTGTTGACTCTAACACATCATAATTTTTTCACAAACATCATGCCAAATTTTAAGGATCAGTTATTACAAATGAGAAGACACAATGAAATCTATTTCGCAAAACTGCTAAGTTATGGTGGACATACCAGAAATTCAGCTCACTGGTAAAATAAATCCTTAAATTTGAAGTGAGGTAAAGTAGGGCTGTAAACTCTTAAAGAAATATCAGTAAGCAGGACCTTGGAGCAACAGTAAAATATGTATGTACACTTTCATAAAGGATAAGCCAGGCTCTGGGATGTGCCCTGCAGCCCACTCTGCAGAGCCTATCTCGTGATAGCCTTCACGAGTGGTCATTTGACAGAGGGACATCAAGTATTGGGACCCAAAGTGGGGCAGAAACAAACAGCAATTTACAGAAACTCTCAGAATAAACACGGATCAGAATTGAAGGGAACCTCAACAAATTACAGGGTCCATCCTTGTAGGGACTACACATTTTCACTTTAAAGCTAGTAATATAGACTTAGATATCAGTGGTTTTCAGGAAGCCTTCTGATTTGCATCAGGGGTAGACATTCTTTTTCACCCTTGCCCCATCTCATGAGGGAATTCTAAGAAACTGTTCCTCTCACTGCTTTGAAAAGGTCAAAATGTCCTGAGCTAGATGGAAAAGGCACGGAAGTGATCCTGGGTAGGAGTCCTATGAATAATGTGTTTGTGGACCCACAAGGGTCATATACGTACACACATGGGTGTGTATATGTAATATCTAGTTTATTTTCTTAGAAACGCGCTGTTTGCAGACCTCGCAATCCTTTCAGAGAAGAGCTGAGACACTGAACATTTCAAAGCTCGGGGAAGCAAAACTATCAAAACTGTCCCCGTGAGAGGGCAGTAGGGGGCCACACTGGAGCCTGGAGCTTCCCTGCAGTCCATGCAGCACTGGCCCTGTCAGCCTCCACCCCGGGCCCAGCTGTGGTGCGGGCAGCAGGGTACATTCAATGGCACGGCAGGCTGTCGCTCTCCTACGGAGTCACCGGAACCTGGAGGCACAGACCACCGCGCAGGTGGCATTTCGTGTGCCCTTCGGACTGCGAGCTGGCTTTCTGTTTTGGCTTCCTATGAAGGGAGCGGGAGTTGGAGCTGCCTTGGACCCCAGCATCCATAGAGCCCCCTCTCCTGGCCGCTGAGCGCTGGCCACGGCTGCTGCCCAGTGCGCACGTCTGGGGTGTCGGGGTAACTTTGCAAGTGACTGTCACCAGCAGCGGGACAGAGGTGCAGCGGGAATTTCTCTCACAAGAAACGTCTCTGGTGTCCTGGTCCTATTGCTGGCGCCTACGACGCTGTCGCTGTCAGCTCGCTATATTGCTTTTCTGACTGATTTACATACAATTCTACAAGAGGAAGACGTGAGCGTCCAATGGGGTTGTTTTCCAACCGCGACGTTGTTTGAAAGGAGAAACTGGTTGGGAGAAGTGGGGAACCAGAAAGGGGGTGAATTTCCCCTCCAGAGTGTAAGACGCAAGGCGCCCAGGACCTGCCTCCTGCCGTCCAGACAATCCCGCTACCGGGAGCCTGGGCAAATCACCCACCTTCCGTGACTCTGCGACTTCATTTGCAGAAGGAAAAGCATACTGTTAACCCAGTGAGCTTGTAAAGCACCCAGGACAGTAACCACCACCTAAGAGCTGCCGCGCACAATCAACTTCCCCGATGTTAAGTGAAGCAGACCCTGCAGCCGCTGTCCCGTGGGACAGCGCTAACCCTCCAGCTTCCCCACCACGCCCCGTATGGTGAGACAGAACCTGGCCCGCCCATCCTGCAGCACGGCGTCCACAGCCACCCGAGTCCGAGCTCCAGGGACCCTCCCTGGCCCTGCGGGGCGCGTGCCACACCTGGAGGCAAATGCGCTCCTGGTCGCACAGGCAACCCGCGCGCGCTGCAGCGCAGCGCCCCACCTCTCCCGGCTGAAGAGCGCTTTTGGGGAGTCGTCCTACCTGCCCCAGGGATTTGCCCTTCTTACTGCCGCTGAAAGCCAGTCCTTGGTATATGCCCGCAGATCGGTTGGCGGCCTGGGCCGGGGTCTCTCCGCCCAGAGAGGACTTGATGGAGTTGAGTTTGGCCCGCGAGCTGCCGAGCTGCGAGCTCTCCACCATCAGCACCGCGGCCAGGAGCAGGAGGCAGCGGGACGAGTCCCTGCCCCGCATCCACGCGGCCATCTCCCGGCGGGCGGCGAGGAGTTCGGGGACGCGCAGAGCCCGGAGGGCTGCCGCGGGGTTCGCAGACGCTGCGCCCCAACCCTGGCTTCTCCGGGAACCCAGGACCCTGAGAACCACGCAGTCTCAGCTGTGGCCAGGAGTGAGTGTGACCCAAGCCAGGCCGGGTCTCCAGCAGGGCAGGGAGGCGCAGCAGTCACTGGAGGCGGTCACAGCCTAGGCGCCGTCCCCGCCGAGGAGGAGGAGGAGGCGTGACTCGCAAGCAGCACACCTCAGCGGCCGGCCAGGGCTCGGTCCCCCCTAGATTGCCCGGGGTGGCAGCCCGTAGCTTCTCTGGGGCCGCTCTTCTTTTCTCTTTCCCCACACTTTGGGTCTTTAACTTGGTAGGACGCACGTCCTTCTTTTAATAAGGTTAGCAGGGGCTGTCACCGGAGGTCAGGAGTGGCCTCCGGACTGGATGGACCCTGCAGACCCCAGGCCAGAGAGGTGCCACGAGCGGCCACAGTCGCTCCTAGCGCCGTCCAGGGTTCACCGGAGACCACGGCCACTGCTGGCGACCAGCGATGCCCACACCCGCTGCGCTCACAGGGCTGGCGAGCTCTGGCCGCGCTCCCCCGCCCTCAGTGCTTTTTATAGTTTTCCACAGTGGGTTTTCCTCCGCCCCCAATCCAAGAGTGACAAAGAGTGAAAACGTTGCTTTCCCTCCACGCTCTCGCCCCCCTTCTCCTGCAGCTCCATCCGCGGCTCCCCCTCCCCGCCCTCCCAGCCTTCGCCACCCCACAACTGGAGAAAATGGGATTCACTCCCGGAGGAACTTGGGGTTTCCAGAGCCTACCACAGCTCCGGGGAGCAGCCGGGCTCTGAGAGCAGGCGGAGGGCACATGTGGGCATGGAAAGGGACAAACTGTTCCCAGGCATGGTGACCCCAATACTCCCCGCCGTCCCCAACCTGGGGAAGTTTTGGAGACTCCAACATCTGCCGCGCTCCAATGCGACTGTGCCTGTGCCCCAGGTCGCTGGAGACTGGACCGGGGTGTCCAGCGGATCTGAGGAGGGGATCCACGAAGGGAAAGATGAGCGCGGTCTCACTACCCTTCTTCGTCCGCCGCTCCGCTGCAAGCGAGACGTTCATCTGTATGAGCTCTGAGGGGCTGGGAGAGGGGAGGAGACCGTGTCTCCCCACCATGGGCACCTCCGAAATTTGGAGATCACACCTACTTTGGACATGGTCTCCGTGCCAGACAATTGCCCTCTTTGCAGAGGGGAAATCGCAGGAGGGACCAACTGGGGTTACGAGGCAGGCACACAGGGGGCCACTGAGGTCCTGCTCCCTGCCTGTGGCCCCTGGGAGCTGCAGAGAAAAGCTTGACGGAGGCTCCCCAGGTTTCCTTCGTGTCTTCCAAGGTGCAGCGCTGCGAGAGGCTCTGGGACTCGCGGGCGCACGACGCTTGGGGGCGCTGGAGGTACCGCCGCCCAGGCAGATGCGGGGCTGGAGCCGCTGTTAGCACTCTGCTCGGTGGGATTGGGCCACTGGCTTCCAAAGCAAGGTAGAGGGTCGTTCAGAACTTGTCGCCTTGCAGGCACAGGTAATCCACGTGGTGTCCGTGACAGCCTGCAGCGACAAGGGGACTCCAGCAGTATCCTCTAGAACTTACCCCAAATTTCACACGGATCCTGCACTACACACCGGCATGCCCAAGAGCACAAAGGGACAACGCACAACGCGAGGGACTCCTTATTTCCTGCCCAACACCACCCAGGCCTGAAGCACGGTCTTGGGGCTTATCCAGCCCTAAGCCCACGCCTCAGTCCTGACCCCGAAGAGAAGGTCAAACTTGTTGAGCCTTCTGGCACCTTTTTTTGTCTTTGGATTTCCTTAGAGTAGAGATCAGCACCCTCATGGTTGTTTTCACTTTTTAAATGCTCAAGAATAACAAACCAGAAGGATCCTTGAGGACATTATGCTAAGTGTGTAAGATGGTACTACAGGATCCCGCCTAGCAGGTACCCTAGAAGACTCAAGTTCACAAAATCAGGGCGCAGAATGGTGGGTACCGAGAACTGGGAGAAAGGGATGTCGCTCTATCAACAGATGTAAAGCCTTATTTCAGCAAGACATGGGCTCTAAATGTCTGCCATATTATGTAGTCATGTATAATAAACAATAATAATATTTAAAAATTGTTACTGGGGCAGATCTCACATCAAACACAAACTCACACATGTGCGCGCAAACACACACACACACACAATGAAAGGTAAGGAAATTGATCCATATACTTTATATAAATATGTGCAATTTAGCACTTAGGCTTTACTAAAGGGTTTGATCTTTTGGCTTAGTTCTGCTTAACCAGCAAGAAAACAACAGACGTGGAGAAAGTTAAGTTAGGAACCTACTGGCTCAGCTGGTTTTGAAGAGTACTTTAGAGCAAAAGAAAACATAAATTGTAGTTAAATAGGCAGCAAATCACACTGTGTTCACAGAGACTCTGTGTGTGAGAGAAAAAAAATCATGAACAAAGAGAGTTAAAGATGCTTCGGGTGTGTCACTCCTTTCCTCCACCCCAGCGGGCACAACTCGGCCAAAGGCAGGAAAGTCTTCTCAATAGCAGCCTCCAGCGACAAAAGCAGGCTGTACCAGCACAGGCAAAGCCAGGTTTCCATGGAATGCACTAATAGTACTCTCCCTTCTCCTGTAGAAAACAAAAGCACGTGTGGACTCAAACACTGAAACTCGCACAACTGTCCTGCAGACTGAAAGGAAGCAAGAGCTTATTTCAACCACAACCCCAGTGCTTTCTGTGAAAGGATCTGACACACGGAGCCTGCGTAGACAAGCAAGCAGGTGTGACCAACCGCAAAGAAACCTCCGCTTCGGATTGCTATCCTACCACACGTGCTTCCTCCTTGTGTGTCTCCCTAAGTGTGAAGACACAAGTTTAAGGTGGCAAAAGACACTATGTTTAAGTTGGCAAAACAGAGTTTCATGCCATCCACAATAACACAATTAGAGAGTAAACATATAGGAACAAGATTGTACAAGTAAGTCGGAGGCTTTCTATGCAGAAGAAGATGCCTGGAGGGGCATGTGGCTTCTGTTTCTGAAACCTTGAGGTCATTTAGGTGCACAGTAAAACCCTAACTGAGTCAGCAGTTGTTCCAGAAATCAGGTTTCTGAGCCCCAAAGGTAAGTTAAGTGTACACATCTTCACTTGGCTCTTATTGACTGCGCCTTGCCTGGTTTCAGCTCATCGTCTCTTCCTGTGTTAGTGTGTTCTGAGGTCGTTCAAGCTTTCACTGCATATCTGTTAAGTGTGTGACCCGGAGAGCCTAGAGGAGAGACGATGGGGTCCTTGGTCCCCCCAGAGCTTGAATTTCCAACTAGGCAGTGGCTTGCTGGCCAGTCTCTGGTCGCTCTCCTGAGTCTCTGTCCTGAGCTGTCCTCTGTGCTCACCCACTCCTGACTTTGGCCAGTCTTGGAGTTTGGTCTCTGTTAGGATATCTGTAGCTTCTAAGCTGGCTTGAATTATGTGACTAAAGGAGATATAGATATAGATAAGTGGAAAAGATTAAAGGCTACATTCGGTATTCCAGGCCTCTAAGCCCAGGGTTCTGGGAGACTGAAGTTGGAGGGTTACAAATTCCATCCCCATCTGGATAAGTGAGTGATTTACTAAGACCCTGTCTCAAATTTTTTAAAAAAGTATATAAAAAGATAAAAGTGGTTTGAAGATGTAGCTCAGTGTGAAGGATACTGGTTCAGTTCTCAGAATGCTAAAGTAATAATTTAAAAAAACATTAAATATATTTTAAAAATTTAAGATATCCTTGAGACTTTCTTTTCCTCTCAATTTGCATGTATATTTTAATAGTGTACAGAGACAATACTCCTTTTCTATTTAAGGTTAAATCCAAATAAATGACACTAGTGACAGTCCCTTTAGGTCAGTAAGATCAGACAGGAAAACCCTTCATGCTATGCATGGATGTTCACGATTGCTACACATCTGGAAAAGAAACCATACTGCCCTGTCCTGTCATCTGATAGTGCTCACCCTTGGGGCTTATCACATAGGAGTCATGTACTTCTCATCCTACCTAAAGAATACTATCATGTGTCACCGTCTATCACATTTTAAATAATGTGCAATAAATGTACACTAGCACTGGTGTCTTTTAAGTTTCTGAGATGGAGATGACCTCCTTATGAACTATGAAAACCTACAACTAATATTTGATTTGTTGCTTTAGTTTCCATGATTAGCCATACTCCTGTCTTAAGCTCATAGCCAATAGGACCAGCTCCTGAGATGACTTCATCACTTACACCAAGTCTCTAGTTGTGCTTGACCCAAGCATGCACAAGTAAAAAGGTCCGAGGGGTTCCATTGTATGTCTGTCAAAAACATAATCATCGCTCAGCCAGTGGCTTTGTTTTTCAACTTTGACAAATCAGTTGTCATCTCAGTACTTTACCTGACCTCCAAACAAAAGAGAACTACTGGATGGTTACTCTCTATAGCCTGAACTCAGCCAATAAAAAGCATAAATAACATAATCTGAAGCAGAAGTGGCTATATTACACAATTACTAATTTTTGTGCATAAAAGTGGCCATACATAGGGTCAGAGTTGGAAACAGTTTCCAAATGGTCAATCCTGATGCTTTCCCTCATGACACAGGGTTTCTGTTGGGTCTTCATATTCTGTGTCCTCCTTAGGGATCCATTTATTCTCACTGTGGAGTTCCTGCAGGCTCTTTCAAGACTCATCGCTGAAAACCAAACCAAAGTACCAAATATCACTTGGATGCATAAGACAGATGTGTTCAATTCTTGAGTGAAGTTCCATTCCAAAAAAAAAAAATCCCATCTTGCTGAGCAATAAAACAAATCACTTTTAGATCATGTAGAGTTTTCTAGATTCCGTTCCTGAGAGCTCTAGGGCTCTGGAAGGGTCACACAGAAAGGCTAAGAGCAGAAGTCACTTTGATAAAATTCCACAGTAGAAGAATCCAGCAGCATTCAGCATTAAATGCTTGTCTTTGCTATTGCTTTTATGGGGGTGGGGGTTGTTGGTTTGTTGCTTGGTTTTAATCAGTCACTAGCTTCCCTCATTTGAAAGCCACACTAAACTGGGTAAAATATGACAGCTCAACCTGGCAGCAATGGAATGGATTGATTTCCACTCTGCTATTATTACAGCTATTCCCCAAACAAACATTACTCAAATGGGAAAACTATTCAAAATCTGGCAGCTTATTCAGTCAGAAGTGATTTGGTCATTTGTAGTAAGAAATATTTGTAAAAAAATGAAAGAGTGGCAGGGCAGGGTGGCTCAGTCAGTCACGCTCGCGTGCGTTTGCTACCAGTCAGCTATCCGAACGTCTGACTAAGGAATATGCAAAACCCTTAACTATGCATACCACACATAAAATAAATTGTGGCACAGATGGAAAACTAATGGGAAAACTAGTTTCAAAAAATAAGAAAATAGTTTCCCAAGTGGTGACTCAACATCTGTGTTTGAAGCAGAACTGAGTTCAGTAACAGAAAATGGAAAATGTGTTTAGTTCTCT